GTGTCATGTGTATTAAAATACAATATATATTTTAAAATAATTTAAAATTCATAAGATTTAAAAAAGAAAACCAAAATTTTATGAATTTTAAATGGAAAAAATTAAAAAAAATTGCACGGACCATTTGTGATAGGTGTGTAAACCTCAGGGATGTTTTGTGATATATATATACGCCACATCAGCAAACTAACGGAGTTTTTAACGGAACCTAACGGTATGGACCATTTGTGATCACACATACTAACCTTGAAGACCACCAATGACACAAAAAAACATTAAGGATGCAATCTGATAGTTTCGTAAACCTTAGGGACCTTTTATGATAATAAGCCTTTAGGATATAATTAAAAGCATTGCAATAATATATTTGTATTTGTGATCTCCACAATCCAAAAAACCTCCTTCCAAACCTAATTAATCAACTTATAAGAAGAGAAGGTATAGAACTTGTATATATATATACAGTACTCATTAAAGATGTCGACAGTGACACATTGGAGAAATAAAGACGAACAAACTCTTGACTTATCTTAATTATTTCTCACATTTTCTTACCACTTGAGTTATTTTCAGAAATTTATGACCGAAAACAAAATTTCTTTCGAGAATTTAGAATATTGTTGATTGATATTGTCACCACTAAATTTAGGATAGGCTTATTATCACAAAAGGTCCCTAAGGTTTATGAAACTATCAGATTGCATCATTAATGTTTTTTTGTGTCACTCGTGGTCCTTAAGGTTAGTATGTGTGATCACAAATGGTCCCTGCCGTTAGGTTCCGTCAAAAACTCCGTTAGTTTGCTGATGTGGCATATATACATATCACAAAACATCCCTGAGTTTCACACATCTATCACAAATGGTCCTTGCGAAATTTTTTAATTTTTTAATCATAAAATTTAAAAATGAAAAAACCATTTATATAAGGATTTTAACCCTAAGGACCATTTATAAACCCTAAACCCTTGGTTTTTTTCATTTTTAAATTTTATGAATTTTAAATTATTTTTTAAAACTTCCATTAGTTTGTTGATGTGGCATATATGTGGAGCCCACATCTAAAATAATATAGTGTCATGTGTATTAAAATACAATATATATTTTAAAATAATTTAAAATTCATAAGATTTAAAAAAGAAAACCAAAATTTTATGAATTTT